TAATATAGCACTATTAATTAACGCTTGCATTGAATTTTGATACCATTATTGAGACAGATCGTAGAGGAAGCATGAACTCACGCTGTAAATAGAATCTTAAAATAAACAATAGAATACAGTCCCCTGAGTGGTTTTTTACGTGGACCAGTGTGCGCGGCATCGATTGGGAATTCTGCAAAAACCCTTATTGTGCAATGACTTGTACAACGAAATTTGCCTGGTTCAATGTCAATGTCCTTGTTAACAACACCATTGCACTGTATCCTGTTGCTAAGTGTATATTTTACTCTTTTGAAGTTTAATGTTATTACTGGAAAGGATGGTATTTTCCAGGGGAACCAAGCATCTTCAACTGATGAAATTGTTACTTCCATCTCTGCTGTTAGATTATCTGTAAAATAACAGAAGCATAGTCTATATGCATGTATGTATACTTTTGTATGTTTCTTTAAAATGTACTAGTATATAGTATAACCTGCCATTCGCACAAAAATTATCATCATAAGCATACGGGGCCATAACTATAGAAATAATTGGAGAGGTGCATATTCATATATTCCTGTACTGCCCGACAGATTTATTTTGTTGGAGATTGTTTTTGTGATTGCTTACAAAATAAATTGTTGGGGAGAACACAAATATATGAACATGCACCCCTCCCAATTATCACTCTATTTACGGCCCTGTAAGCATAGAGAGTAAGCTTGAGGGGCACTTTGTCTTAAGGCATCTACTCGATTAGAAAAGGGCATTTTCCTCATAGTTTTAGTAAGAGGAAACGGAGAAAACTTACTCCCTCCCTGTAGAGCTGTGCACCAGAGCCGGTGGGCCGGAACTGGAGTTTTGGCCTTTTTTGCCGGAGCCGGAGTTTGTTCAACTCCAGCAAAACTTCGGCAGCACTTATTTGTGCTGCAAACTTATTTGTGCTGCAAACTACTGTCGCACATCGGCAAAAAAAAACTGAATTTTTTTGGCTTGAGCTGGAGGTGAAAAAACCGGAGTTTGCACAGCACTACCTCTCTGGTTCTTATATGTATCATACTGTTACGATACCTTCATTATGTTCTTTAACGTTTGACACCACAGGTACTTCATCAAAACTTCTGTTAGAGTTCTGGTATAGAAATAAAAATGTTTAATAGGCAAGATGCTGTAACCATAGAGTCTGACACAATTTTGAGTGGCTGGAAGGATAAACTAAAGATTTCTTCCTGCCCTTTGAAAATGTCACACACTTCACATGATATACACTGTGTACTTAAAATACAAAGTTACCTATACTGGTAATGGGAAAGTATTTAATATAACCTCCTGTTCTTCTGGGTTTACATTGCCAATTGCAACATTCAATGATTTCTCCTTAGAAAGTAAGCTTGATTAATTGATTTATGAATTAAGGAAGAGTTATTTATTAATTTATTATAATAGTACATATATTTACAGTATCTATTACTGGAAACAGTTATCTATCATTAAAAGGATACTTTCCACAAATAACTTTTTGTGTGCTTGTCAACAATATGTCCCTCCGTTCATTCAATGGGACAGTTTCCATTGTTTTTGTATTTATTATTGTCTGATGAAGAAAAACAAGTTTGGCTTCTAAAAAAACTTGTTTTCATATCCTTCAGGAACATGTTTCAGTTTTAATAAAGCCTTCATCATATCCGCTTCTTCTTCAACAAGTTTTTTCGCTCTATTAATACCAATTTCTCGAATATTTGGCAAGTAGTCACAACCAGCTACTATACACATTTCAAGGAAATTACTTTGAGTCATGCCAAGATGTGCAAGGGCTTGGTTGAGTTCAATGTAATCACATTCTCCATTCATTTGCATTTTAAACAAAACCTGAAATACAGTATAAAGAATGCAGAAATATAATTATTGTTATCAAATATAAACAATCACAAACTGGTTGAAATAAGGCAGCTATCAGACATGACTATTCTCAAGGGACTGTTCACACAGGGGTTGTAGCCAGGATACAGATCCCATGTTATGACAGGAATACCCCCCCACCCGCAGTATTCGCAGCAATCAGAAATTTACACAATTCTGTCTGTATAAAGTCTTGCAATATACAAGACTGGCATTTTTGAAGAGCCCAAATATATATTTTTACTGGGGAGTATATAGACCCCATAGCATAATTAAGGCATACAGACTTCACCTAGCCTAGGAAATACCCTGCTTGACAAAGTCCTACCTTTTCTAAGTCCTACCTTTTGGCATCCAAATGCAAGTAAGTCAGAATCTTCACTAATTGCAAAATCGGCTTGCCCATTTTTAACAATATAAGGAATTTGTGCATCTGCTTCATACGGGGCAACAATATAGTTGATATTTTTATCACGACACAACTAGAACAACAAACGTACAGGTATAAAATACGAGTATAAAATTCATCAAAGATGTTAATAACACGGAGTTCAAATAAAACTAGTGATGGTACCCTGATAAATTCAGTGGTCATAGCGTATGTGATGCGAGTTGCTCCAGCCAACAGCTTGTTCGCCGCCATTACTTCGCCTTTATCTCGAAGTTCGGTAGCTTTTGCTCTGGGTTCCTCTCGGCGTCTATATACGTTTATATTTAAAATAAAATCGTGAAATAAATATATTTACGTTAACACTGAACCTGTGTTTTGTGTGCATTGAAGCAGTCAATTTCTACAAATTTTAATAAAATGGACAGGCGAAGTAATTTACATAAAGTTGCGCCGACAAAAACAAATACTCACTTTGTCCTTTTTACGCGTTCATGTTCTTTCGCTGGTAATCTTAATCCATCAAAGACAACATACGGTTTAACTTGGTTTCTTTCAAGAAGATCGAGGTAGGTATTAAGAAGATCGCACAATCTAAAATTGTACGGTATTTGCAGATTTGTACGCAAGTATTCAAAATTGCAAACATACATAAACACACACCCCTGCACACACTGAAACACTACTGAAAAATATACCTGCTATCTTCGCCATTTCGACTGTAGCTTATACAGCGCTCTATGCAACACGCACGAAGCATCCACTGCAGCAGTTTGTCCTTTAAACTCGTCAAGTTTTGCTTTTCGTGTGACATCTCTCAAATACGGCAATAATGTTTTGATTCCCATCGCTTTTTTTCTGTCGGGAGCTGTTCTCCATGCGGCGTCGAATGCAAAATGAGCAATTTTTGTGATTTTACCCATAATTCCCCGGAGCGTAGTGCGCACACCGCCTGGCTTTGAACATGCATTGTTAAATTGAAGCAGAGTATCTCGAAGTAAGATTTTAGATTATGCAAGTCTGCGAAGCAGATGTAGTGTAATATTAATTATATGAAAGATATGAGATGAGATTTAACAATGCATTCCTGCCCAGGGTTTTTCCCTCCCATGCATTGTTACTAGTTTTGTTGTTTGTTTGTTTTTTTGTTTTTTTTTTTTTTATCTGTATAGGTTGTTTCATAAAAAGATGTGGAGGGAACCAGAACTTTATGTTATAGTTATTTGCTTCACTGTATATAATTTAAAAGGAGTGACAATAAAGACAATGCATTGTTAAATCTCGTGTCATATCTCATACAATTGCTGCCGAGCCTCAGCAAGGCAGCACACTATTCTTAACGTCACATGACGTTCTTACTTTCTTGTGCCCAGTCCCCCGCTGAGTTATGTATTGTCAACATAAATCTTGATCTGCTTTCTGCTTTGGTAGATGTCTGTCCATTTCCCGGGAGCTCATTAAGAATTCAAGTCATTAAGAATGCAAGTCTGTAAAATGAGGGGGGTGGTCAGACTTTTCTATTGCATCCTGGGAAGCACTTTTTAACAGCCATATTGCTAAGTATTCAACAGCAATACAAAGGCATATTCAACAGACGTACGAAGGCAGATTCAACAGCTGTGTGAAGGCATATAAGTAAATTCATTTGCGTGGTGATGTTATGCTAAATATTCAGCAGCCGTATTGCTAAGTGTTCAAGTAATTCAAAAGCCATCAACCATACGAAGGTATATTCAACAGCTTCAAAATCAAACTTGTTGAATGTTGTGCGTACTTCACACTTTGGTGCGGTTGAGTTTGAGACAGAATTTCATACATATATGTGATTTCGAAAGAGGAATCACCTGAACATTACAAACCTCTTAAAAGAGTGTGTCATTCTGTACTATTTACGAAAGTATAGTGAAGTTCCACAGAATAGAGGCTGAGAAAATCACCATGCAAACAAATATATTTATATCCCTTTAAACGGCTGTTGAACATTTGGCCTTAAGACAGAATTTTATTATTTTTTGGCGTAACCCATTTTCATGTTACACACTGTTTGAAAAAGCATATTATTTCTAAGTAATTACAGAGATTTGAAGAAATTCTATAAAAAAGCGGCTGAGAAAATTGTGATTATTTAGGAATTACTGTCGCCCAGCTTTGCTGCACGCTAATTAACAATTAGATTATGAGCTCAAGATTTCTATGAGGTGATAGTTGATGAGGGCGAAGCCCAAATCAACTGTCACCTCATAGAAATTGAGAGCAAGTAATCTAATTGTTTCAGTAGAATCAGAGATCAAGCACAATTAAAATATTCGACAAAATAATGTAATAATTTATTTCCTCATTAAATAAATAATTAACACGTTATTAATAATAATACGTAACATCACTAGGCATGCATGCTTGCATGCACGTCTTCGAACAGTTAGATAAATAATTAGTTCAGACAAGTCGTAAACAAACAGCCATGCAAGAATTTATCAAGGAAAACTTATAAAAAAGTGAAACTGGCTTGGGTATAAGTATATAAATCATTCAAAGAAGAAATCCTTGCATTTTGGTGTAAGGCTTTTCAACGATAGTTGTTGACGATTGAGACCGAGCAGTTGTTGAAAGTGTATGGCTGTGTTTGGTTGAAGTAGTTTGGATGAATATTTTGAACACTTCGGTTTGACACTGATGTTTTTTCGTCAAAATATTGGATCGCCAATGCACCATCGCCAGGACTTGCTGATTTCTAAAGAGTGGAGGCTTCGTCTTTGCTGTCTTCGTTAATAAAATGGCTTAATATGTTGGACATATTTTCTTTCTGGCGAAAGGACGGGCGAACGCTGTAAGACTGGATTGATTGGTCTGACTTATGACCACTAACAGATTTTATGTGCCTTGCCTCTACATTACTGTCCGAAAGAACGGTAACAGATGTTGCACGGACACAGTGGTTGGTCAGATACTGCTCGATTCCTGCATTTTTGCACATAACTTTCATCATGTTAACCAGCATCGCTTCACCAACTGGCGCTTGACAAAACCAAACCTCCTCAATATCTGGATTAAATTTCACAGATTCTGATCTTCGTCGCTGAAAAAGACTTTCTACGTTCGGGTTGAGGTGTTTCAGATAGTTTTCCAGTGTTTTTACGGGACATCGAAGAGAATCTGGGGTTTCAAACATTTTCCCATCTGACTCGTCAGCACTGTCATCGGGACCTCCTTGATGATTTTTTTTCGCCAACATTGTTCCAGGTAGGTCCTTTTGAAGTTCGTAGTACTTTCCTTTGCCTGGAGTTTCCCAAAGAACTAGCATTTGCTTCAACAGTTTTCGTTGGTTTTCTCGCCCCCTTTTTCCAAAGTACAGTGTAACGTAAAACCATGCAGTTCGGAGTATTTGAGACAGGTTTGTTGTTTTAGCTTTGCCAAGTTTCCCGGTCTTGAAAAGTTGTTGTAGTTGCTCTTTCGTTATGGGATTTTTATGGGTTACCGAACTTATTTTCCCCTCCTTCATCATATTGACACAAATAGCGTTAAGTGTTTTATTTGCCAAACTGACCTCCGGGTTGCCAACTATTGACCAAGGTTTGTTGTTTGGTTGTTGTCTCAGGTAGCGATTGAGTGCTGCTCGAATAGCTTTTAGCGAAGAAACTTTAAAACACGTCTCATTTTTCTGCCAAACACAGGCATAAAACAGCTGCAGATATTCATTTAGCTCTGCTTTCGACTGCTCCTCAATAGGAGTGCTTAACTTGTCTTGACTTGCAAACCATTCTTAAAGAAAAAGGTTGTTTTTGGTTTACTAAATTTGTTGTTTTTGTATTTGTTGACATTGTTATTAAAATGTGAATGACTCAACCTCAATGCATGTTTAGTTAATTTAATTAAACTTTTTACCTTTAAATATCTTGACCCCGTATTTTGTAGCAGCTTTAGTCTTCTCTGGAATTGCCTTCTCAAGTAAACAATCAAGTTCATCCTCAAAAACCTCAGAAAACCGCGAGCCGGAGGCCATTTCTTTAAAAAATACGCCAGAAATACGACTGTTTCGCTACTCGCTATCTATCAACAATTAGATAGCGAGTAGAGCAGCCAATCAAATTTCAGCATTTGCAATAGTATGCTAGTATGATTGATATGGTAATCCAGTAACCTAAGGTAATCTAGTAACCTATGGTAATCTAGTAATCTATGGTTATCTAGTAACCTATGGTAATCTAGTAACCTTTAGTAATATAGTAATCCATGGTAATCTACTAGCCTATAGTAATCTAGTAATCTAAGGTAATCTAGTAACCTATGGTAATCTAGTAATGTATGGTAATCTATGGTAATCTAGTAATCTATGGTAATCTAGTTACCTATGGTAATTTAGTAATCTATGGTAATCTAGTAACCTATGGTTATTTAGTAATCTAAAGTGATCTAGTAATCTATGGAAATGTAGTAATCTATGGTAATCTAGTAACCTATGGTAATCTAGTAACCTATAGTAATGTAGTAATCTAAGGTAATCTAGTAAACTATGGTAATCCAGTAAACTATGGTAATCTAGTAATCTATGGTAATCCAGTAATCTATGGAAATCTAGTAAACTATGGTAATTCAGTAATCTATGGTAATCCAGTAAACTATGGTAATCTAGTAATCTATGGTAATCTAGTAATCTATGGTAATCTAGTAACCTATGGTAATCTAGTTACCTATGGTAATCTAGTTACCTATGGTAATCTAGTAATCTAAGATGATCTAGTAATCTATGGTAATCTATGGTAATCTAGTAACCCATACTAATCTAGTAATCTAAGGTAATCTAGTAAACTATGGTAATCCAGTAATCTATGGTAATCCAGTAAACTATGGTAATCTAGTAATCTATGGTAATCTAGTAACCTATAGTGATGTAGTAATCTATGGTAATCCAGTAATCTATGAAAATCTAGTAGACTATGGTAATTCAGTAATCTATGGTAATCCAGTAAACTATGGTAATCTAGTAATCTAAGATGATCTAGTAATCTATGGTAATCTAGTAATCTATGGCAATCCAGTAACCTATGGTAATTAGTAATATATGGTAATCTAGTTACCTATGGTAATTTAGTAACCTATGGTAATCTAGTAATCTATGGTAATCTAGTAATCTATAGTAATCCAGTAACCTATGGTAATCTAGTAATCTATGGTAATCTAGTGACCTATGGTAATCTAGTAACCTATAGTAATGTAGTAATCTAAGGTAATCTAGTAAACTATGGTAATCCAGTAAACTATGGTAATCTAGTAATCTATGGTAATCCAGTAATCTATGAAAATCTAGTAAACTATGGTAATTCAGTAATCTATGTAGCCTGCTCGCAGACCCCGCCTGGATATTAGGGAGGGGGGAAAAATAGGGGTCTGCTAAACTGTGGACATTCTCGTGTTCCGTGACGTAACTGATGACCAGCATGACTTTGCATAATTAAAATACATTTTCGTTAAAATGATATCCGGTTGGCGTTTGTTATAAATATTCATGGCGGACGCAACTTCTGTTTTATATTCAGAAGTCAATATTTGTAACTCGTGTATTTTGTGTTTCCGTGTCATTAAACTTACGCACGAAAGATATCTAATCGCTGGCAAGTCTAAATTTAATATTAAAGAAGCCATTCAGCAGTTACCTTTTAAGATATTCGATTCTTCGCCATACATTTGCCGACAGTGTTTGGACAAACTACGAAAGAGAGCGAGTTTGATTACTCAAGAAAAAAACATTGTAGCAGAGCTTAGCAGTCTATTTGAAAAAGGCAGACTTACAAAAGGACAAGAAACAGCAGCGGATGAGCCACCAACGAAACGAGCCAGTTTGACAAACATATTATCAACCACGGAACCAACAACAACATCTCCGCCGCCGAAAACGACAACATATTTAGAGTTTTGTGCCAGTTTTGCCAGCTCTTCTGTACCTCTACATTCGCCTCGACAATCAACCCCAGTTAAACAACCGCAACCAACCAAAACGTCTGTGAATGTAAAAGTGGAATGGCCTAGCAAGAAAGTAGAGAAAACCTTGCATCCAGACTTAGAATCACTGGGAAAAATGTTAGTTCGCGGCACATTTAAGCAAATCGCACATGCAGCGTGGAGAAGTAAACCTCTTCGAAAATATCTTACTGTTTACATGTTACAGGAGATTAACAAGGAATGTACCAATCTATGCTCGAAGAAAGATCCAAGTTGTTTGCGTTCACCATCCAAAAAGAAAATGCTTGAGTTTTCGTTTGAACGAGAAAATGTAGAGCTGGAAATGAGAGCACCGCTGTTTTATTCAGTCCTGGTAGCTGGTGGATGCAACAAAAAGAAGACAGAAAGGTGTTCCTGGGTTCCTGCAGTAGGAATGGCTGCTGCTGTTCTTCTCCGGAACAGGTCTCCATACATGAATGCAGTGCAGCTAATGCTGGGCATATTCTTGTACCATTCAAATTGGGCGGTAAGTCCATGTACCATGCTATACCATGTACCATGCTACACTACTATACCATGCTATAAATACAATGTACTTCATTGTTATTCAGTGGAAGGGAAGCCAAGAACATTGGAATTTTACTCTTGTGACTTGATTTTGTTTGTATTTTAATAAGGTACCATTTGCACTGTCAGCATTACTATTTGGTTCTAATAGTTGTTTGGTAATTAATATACTGTGTTTGCTTTTTTAAGCCTGTTATGTCCAGATTTGCTCCTCTGCGATTAGTGACTTCACCAACCCACCTTTACAAGAAATTGGAAGAATTTGGGAAAGGGTATGATTCTCCAGTGAAAGAAATTGTCCAGGCAGATTCTTTATGGTTTGCAGAAGCGGTCAAAGAACCAGATTCTTTGCAGATAGCTTCAACCAGTATTAGTAGCCCTAAACCATCTTCGGGATTCAAGCTCACTATTGATAATGTTGATTATCATCAGAATGTACATTACATGACAGAAGATCATCAAAACATCGATAGACATTATGTCACAGTTAATGCGACAATGAATCGAGTATCTGGAAATCACTTAAGCGCAACAACACCATTGGATGGTATTGATAAGATGGAAAATGGAAAATGTATTCCAAATTACATTGAACAGAAATTGCAACGAGACAACTATGTCATTCTTGTTCAAAGGATTCTCGTGGAGAATATTCCATGTCTTTGTGATTTGTGATTTAACCATGACTATGTGATTTAACAATTTCTGAACATGAACTTTTGTTCATAATTTATTCATTTACAACTTTAGCGAATCAAAATAGTGTTAAATATTCTGGTAGTACATGATATTTAAAAATATAGCCGTTTGAAATATAAACAAAGCGTTTGTTTGCATTATGGACTGTAACCTGTACCCTTAACTGTGATTCATCTTTTACTTTTTTTTTTACTCTTTTTAACATCATACAATTTTCCCTAATCAAGGGGAGGGGCTAGTTAACACTTTTATATGCTCCATAAAGACAAGTATAATCAACATTGACAAGTAAAATCATCTGGCATTAGTAAAATGGTTTCCTGTAATCCATTTAGTTCTGTCCAATATATTGCATTAGCCTCTGGATGCCAAGAATGGGAATGTCATATTCCACCATGATTTCAATTCTTCATTTTCTAACATGATTACTAATTTTAGACTTTCCTGGGAAAGATATTTGAAAGTGAGAATGATGCTGATGGAATTAAGAAGATTTTGAAGGAGCTACATGGTTATGTTTCTTATGCTGGAGAAGGAGAGGAGCGGAAGTACTGTAGTCAAGGAATTGTCGGTGATCAACTAACAGTTGAACGAATTGTTAATGCGCAAATGACTCTTAGCAATGGCTTCACCCCTGAAGAAAGAATGGATGGTTTGCATTGTGAGATTGCTGATTGGCATGCTGGAAATAAAGCCTTGAATGTGAGTATCGATTTATATTCTTTTTTTCACCAGTTCCATTCTCTTTCAATGTAAATGGTACACATTTTGCTAAATGTTTTATTCTAGCTAATGTTTCTATTTTTTTTACAACAGGTATTATTTTCCCATTTGTACAACCCAGTGTCTGCAGCTGATAAATGCACCATGTTTAGTGATCGAAACTTAATTAATCGTCGCTCAGTGAAGAAGGATGTAGATTCAGCAGTTAATGCAAACCGCCGTTTCTTTACCCTGGAAGTCCAGTCACGAATTGTTGCTGCCAGCATGATTGAGTTAGGAATGAAAAGTTTGGATGAAGTTCCTGAAACCTTGGACAGCAACATTGAAGCATGGAACAACAAAGATAAGCAAGAGTATTTAACAAAGTTATCAACTTCAATTGTTGACAAGTACATCCTTGATGAAGTTAAGCACATGAAAATTGCTGCAGCAGTCAAACAGTTGGAAGAGAGACAGATTCGGGATACAAAAAATATAACCCTTGACGGTCGATACAAGTGTCGTTTTCCAGGTTGCAAGAAAACTTTCCAATCTGATGGAAAGTGGAGACAAAGTCACGAACAGTCTCATTGCCCACCTGTCAGTATACAAGAGAAACCCCTCCTCACTGAAATCCACAATGATGTCATTCAAGATGACATGTACAACTACCAAAAAGCTCTACTCGATTATGGCATGGTCATCTTAAATTTCTTTGATGCAATTTCAGAGGGGGATGGCGATAGAATTATTAGAAGTTGGAAATTTCTTTTATTGTATCTACATCACAACAAAGGTAGCTATAAGTATGCTTTGGAAGGCCTTTATCTGCTCTTCCAAATAAATGCGCTTTTAAGTCCAAAAGCTGCTCATCGATTGATTTGGAACAGATTTTCCAAACGCAAGAACAAGATGGGTGGCAACATTCCTCTAGATCTTGCCCTAGAATTTCTCAACCGAATTTTCAAGGATGTTGTTAAAAAGCTTGGTCCCAATGCCAACCAAAAGTCCATCAGCCGAATCTGCCACGCTTTGGGGATAACGAAGCAACTTACCGACAACTTTGATGAATCAATGTTGCTGTATAAAAGATCG